GCCGCTAATACCGCTGCATTTAACATTCACATAAGGTTTGTCCTCTTTTTCTCGCGCATCTCTTTATTTGTTTTTCGTACTTTTTTATTTCTTTGAATTTTTAATCTAGCTACTCTTAAAATTTATATTTTAACGGATTTACTTTTGTTTTATACATTTTTATTGAATCCTTATGGGCCTTACTTACGTACAAAGCCACATAAAATTTTCATATTTCGTGTTTTATTAGCTTTTAAGAACTGATTAACCTAAGTTCAATGCCTATTTTAATTTTTTTATCATTAATGATATTCAATACCACTGACGAGCTATTTTGTCATCTCAGGGTGTTCATTCTTTAGATCTTATGACCTCTTGAATCTATTGGGAAGTCATTTCGAATTAAATATTTTATTTTTGAACATCGGATGTTTTATATAAATTATATCTTTAAAACAAATTACCACTACAAGAATATCTTGGTGTTTATTCAAGTAAATTACTTACCTATTCATTTCTTCTGACAGCATGATGGCTTTATATGCCTATTATTTACCTTGCTTAATATGTATCCATATATTATCCTTATTGCTACCAAAGTATTGTTTTGAATTATCGTTGACATTATCATGGGGTATATAATCACTTTTTACTTCATGAAAAAGCATATTTGCTCAAGGTTATTTACAATGCATATTTATCCGTATCCTTTTTTTACTCTAATAACAATATTTTTTAAGAAATATCCCGGATTTAACTCAAGATTTTTGGCCCTTCTATTACTTTCCACATACTCATTCTTCCTTATGACATGTTTTTCATTCCCAGGTTTTTCCTATCTATTTTTCATATTTCAGGGCTTGACAATCAAATGCTAGGCCTTCATTCTTGCGTAGGACAAGCCGAATTCGCTCAAAACAATTCAGCAGAGTCTTCTTCCTTGCTAACAGCTCAAAGACACAACCCTTTATTTCCACCTCAAGATGCAACAAGTTCTCCAGCCTCCAGCGTATCCTTTCATGAATCCACCGATTTCCCACTTGATTCATCTTCTATACACCCAGATTTGGGTACCCAAATTAACCGATCTGTATCAATCATACAAGTTCAGCCTGGGTCGAAGTCCCTTATCAATGCATCAGACGCAACCTCTCCAGATTGCTTATTAAGACCACATAGTGCAGATCTCTCTGTCGCTCGTGCTCATTGTTCTGTCCAAGTTGCCTCGCCCCTACAGACTGCTATTAGTCGGTTTGATCGTTCCGAAACGACATCTGCTAGTCGTCAATCCTCTCCCGGTCTTGTTGGGCATCGTAACGATTCAATTGAAACTCTGATGCTGCCTCTCTTTGCCTTCGGAAGGATCGCATCAGATTTGAGAAGTCTCATTAATCGATATGTTCAATCAGAATCTGTGCTTTATTGTCTTGAGATAGCCGGGTTCACTACTGCACCAGTCATTGCATGTTTAGCAGATGACGCTGAAATTCGCGAACTAGAATCCTTCATTCAGCACGCTGGTCAAATTATCTCAAATCCATCAATCCGGTTAGCTCTACTCGGTCCAGTTTACGCAATGCATCCTGCAAAATTTCGCCTTCCTTTTGGTGCTATTTGTGGTCTTAGACTCGCCTTAAAGGAGCTGGCTTCCAGTTCGCTACCTGGTGTCACATATTCTATGCACGGCCTGACGACCCCCAAGCCTTCACATCAGTCTAATCTAGGCCCTGCCGACTTTAGCCGATTAATCAGTTTTGGAGGTCGTCTAGATGATTCAGGAAGTCATGCAGCTTATGGTAATGGCAATGGTAGCAATACTAGTTCCAGCTCAACCTCCAATGCTCTTCTTCCTTCGGGTCATCTCCCGCCACCGCTTGGCTCCAACCGGTTAGCAGCAGCTGCTGCTGCTGCCGCCCTCCTTCCAGGAATGACGAGTTCACTTATTCGAGGCCAAGTGGCCGTGGCTGCAGCGGCTGCTGCTGCGGCCAGATCACTCGTACCTCCGACAACGCCTTCCTCTACCTCCGCATCTTCTCCGCCTGTCTCAGCAGCCGCGGGCGGGACCACTAGAACAGGTGGAGATAGTCTTGATGCCTCACATCTTCATCAGCTATTCGAGGCTGCGGTAACAGGAGTAACATCCGCTGGCTGTTCTGGGACAACAGACAGCGATAATCTATCTTCAAGTAGCTCTCTTCATCATTCTTCATCTCTACCTCTTTTCCCTTTTCTTTCAAGCAGTCAGCCAAACGGAGCCCAAGCTTTCCATTCGCCGGATTTTCAAGTCAATAGACTCGATGACTTTGGAAGATTCAACTTAGAACGTCTTAAGCAGCACTCAGTAGTACGTGTATCCCGCATTGCAGCCCGTCACTTTGCCAACGCGCCTCATCTAGTGCAGGGCCGTGACTTTGATGTCGAAATGGAAGTATCCCTTACATCCGAGGGTTTCCAGCGTGTCACTGGTCTCTTCTATTGTCAGCTATGTCGAGCCAAGAGAGATAGGGCTGCAGCCGTCCGATTTTCCGTGGCTCGAAACCGTACACCAGTCATGAGCAATGTCATTTCTCACCTCAAAATTCACTTTCAATATCTTGGGCAGCAGTCACTTGTCAGTAGCCCACATCTTATTTCCCCTCATTTATCACAATTACACACACTCCTGCCGTCACCCTCCAACTCTCTCCCTCTCGTGAATTTTTGCTCGTCTGTCATGCCAGACCAAGGCCAAGCCATGTCAGCCAAGCTAGAGGCCTATTCTGATCCTGATCGGAGGGTCGGTTTTCCTTTACTCCCTTCTGCTTCCTCTCAACATTCATCACTTGCTTTCTCTCAGCCTGCTTCTGCCGCTACGGACTAGCGTGTTAAGCAAATATTTGGTCTAAATCTGCTTCCGCCGACCTAATTTTAGCCGTAGTGCTTAGAAAATACAATTCAAGCTCAGGTTACCAATGCCGGAGGTCAGCTTAAGTCTGATGAGTCTACTGGATTTTACATCCTCTTTTTCACCTTAAGTGCGCCTGCTTTTGTCACACATCGAATTGCTTTTTATTTGTATAGCCTCTAGTATTTTAACCGGTTCCTTAGGCTAGCCCGGTGCAGAAACTTCCAAATATCCTTGAAGTATCGGCCGTAAAATTGGGATTTTTACCTTTTAATATTCTAAGTGGTTATTAACTCGGGCCCATTTTCAGTGCACTGACTTCCCCTTGTACAAAGAAGTTGGGGCTTTCTATTTTTGACTGTTTCCATTGTATTCATCATTTTGATCCTCATTGCATTTTACTTTCCCTCAAATTAACAGCCGAGCCTTCCGCTTATGAATTATTATAAATTCACGTCGGTTCAATCGCTGCCTATCTAGTTTACTATTAATTTCGGCTACAATCACTGCTCTTTTGCATTGTCCCCTCTCACTTAGCCTAAATTTCATGCATCAATGGAAGTGTATTCGTTTGCAACTACTACATTAAAGTTTTGAGATCTAGCTGAGGCCTGACTAAATTTATTGGATTTAATTTTCTCTGAGCTAAGACCTTGCTCCTAGTCCAGGGCCCTAGGCTTACTAATCTATCTATCGCTACCCGTCCAGTACGAACAGTGACAGATTAGTTATGAAACTTTGACCGAGCGCGATTTCATCTACATGAGGTTTGCGGCTCAAGACAACTTAATCAAACTTTTTCTTAGCTATCCGTTGATTTCCTAACGATAATCAGCGATCAACATCATATTTCAGGGGGATATTTAAAACATCTAGCCTAGTAATTAATCCAAGATAAAATCGTAGATATGAAGATCAAGATGATGTGGTCTTCTGTTTGGTAGCAAGATAAAATTATTAAAAAGAAATATGGAAAAAGGACTTAGAGTTTGCATAGATGATCTAAATGGGTCAAATAAGATTCAATTGGGTCTCAGATTGTCATTTTGAATTTTGTTGAAATGACGAGTAATGATTAGTAAACAAAGCTCAATAGTTCAAGCGAGGTATGATGATTCATTATTTTTCCGAGATAAATGGTCTTTGATTCCAGACTAAAAGATTTCAAATGAAAGTGCTTGTATCGCGGTTGAAGAAATTGTACAGTAATTAGGTATCCGCAGGTAACATCAAATAAGGCTTCTCAAAATAGATAGAAGATAAAGAATTTAAAGGATAATGTGTCAGGTATGGCCAGAATGTCCAAATATTACATTAAAATTACATTGGTGTTTTAAATGAAATGAAGGTAAATGCATTAATTTATCGTTTATGAATGGATCGGTCATACAGAGTGATCTATTTTGGTGGAGCGGTGGTGGTATACTGAGATTATCATTAGCCATGCATCATCGAGCGTAACTACGTCTTTGTTTAATTCAGGAACTAAAAGATTATCCTGAAGATGAAATCCATTGTTCGTCATGGGTTCGAACGTTTTTGGTTGGTGAATTTAGCTCGGATGAGAATGTGAAAGACAAAACGAGTGAAATGGGGCTGGGGCAGCAACTGCTCGATCTATGATTACGGTAGCAATGTAGCATGTATTCTGAGATATCACAGGCTGGACTTAGTATGAATGCAAATGCGAAACTTTGAGTGCAATTTAAGCAGCTTAAAAGTTAAAATGATATAAATAAGGCAAACGGTGACTGATGTAAAAACAAATCACGGTGCTCAGGAGCAATAACGGTTATGGCAGATGGTGTGGAGTCATTCATGCTTCTAAGATGATGCCCGGTATAAAACGAAAAATTTGATGAGATTCCGGATGGGATATTAAAGGGGACATCTTCTAGGGAATAACCGAAAAAGATTGGTTATGATAAGGCATGCGAAATAAAAAGTTGTTCAGATAAAATTCCTAAGATGGAGATTCGAAGGCATAGTCAGATAATTGAGAGGGGATTCAAGATAGGTAGGAATGGAGGCACTAAGGATGAATGACGATCATTGAATTTGGAATTCACAATTCCTGGAAGATCAGGTCCAGCAAAGTGGAATCGGAGTTCGGGGGCAGGGCTAGCGAATCGTAATATGGTGCGTGGT